CACATGCTCCCTACCTGTTCATATGGCAATTATGGCTTTTATGTTTCGAGGAAGAGACTCTTGGTGCAGGTGGGAGAGGCAGGGTGCATAGGTCAGATGGTTTTGGAAGCCGGGAGAACCTTGGCAAGGTGGGAAAGCCTGGCTGGGTATAGTGCTGGCTTATATATGACTTTTCTCAACAAGATGGTGAGGGAGGGGAAAAGGGTAGAAACTCAGCAACCCACTGTTACTACAGAGTGTATCTCTGCCTTTCGGGGAACAGGTTAGATTTGTGAGATACTTTTTGTACTTTCCAAAGATAAGCTATAGATATCCTCTCCCACAGATAAACCTAAGTATCTCTTTTCAATATATAGTGCTTCTAGTGGCTTCCCTTTTCTCTCTCTTTGAATTTCCCCCTTAGTTCTCTTTAAGAGACTTTTCTCAGACGGAGTGTACCAGTCTCACTGAGTTCCACAGAATGCTCAAACAATCAAGACTAGAAGCAGAGGGGTTTCTGTTATTTGCCAAAAATGACCTGGAATATTTCGGGCCTTTGCTTGTCAGCACCCGCAGGCCTCTCTCACATCACATACTTAGACTGATGCTCTTGTATGTCAGCCCTGGCTTTGGATACCTCAACAGACCACACCAGCAGCTCAGCCAGGTGAATGGGAATTGAAGTCCCATCTACAGTTGTCTTCATTCAGCGTCTAGGGACCAGCTGGTAGGTAGCAGCAGTTGGGTGTAAGAGGAGGACATTGTAATTTTCTTGCCTGTCAGTCACCAGGAGAGCTGCTAACTCAAATAGATCATGGGAATGAGAAACCTAGCTTAGCCAGTCATTCTGTAAAACTAGGGGCAAAAGAACTATGGCTATATGGCTAGATCAAAAAGATAATGATTGAAGAATGCCCTGTGTACTTCTCTTTACTGTTTCAAAATGGAGACATTTATTTCTTCCTTAATCAAAATGAGAGGGTCTGGGGATGTAGCATTGCCTAGTGCATAAGAGGCTTCTATTTCCAGCACTACAAATAATAATAAAAATATTTCTTTATTTTCCCAAACAGGAGTTCTGATGATATGAAACTTTACAAGCAGTACAGGACAATTTTTAAAAGAACAGTGTTTTAGACTTTATGTGTTCAACAAGTCTTATAAGACATAGCAATTCCTAGAAATAAGAAATGAATGCCTTTCTTTCAAGCAACAGTGTTGAGCTTTGCGGTTTGTGGAGAGCCATCTCTTTGTTCTATATTGAAACAAGGCTACAAACAGGGCAGCAGGGGAGGGTCACATATGAATGAGGATGGTGTCTGTGTGTCTGTCAATGTTTGTACCTGATTGCTACTTGCTCTCTCTTTCCCAATAGCCACCACTCTTGGTGACAGTCTGTGCTTCTGTGTCATCTGTAGTGTGAGCCTCCACAGCCCTGGCCCTTTTGCATCTCTTGCCAGCTACTCAGTTTTGGCTATCAGCCCACTCACTGGCCAGTTCATCAGTGAAGAGGGGTCAGAGGCCCTTGGAGTATGTCTAGTCCTACATGCCCCTCTACCCGGGTTGCCAGGTCTCAATAAGCTGAGATTTAAAGGGAATCACAGTCCTCTTCCTCTGGCATCAATCCAAGCCCACAGCAACTTTCTTGAAGTCTGCTACATAAGAAAATGACTATTAAAAGGTATTTTTGAACTAAAAAGACATATTTTTTGATGCCAGCATAGTTTAAAGATGTCCTTTCTCTACAGTTTCTTTGACCAGGGGACTGTCACACATGGACAGGCCATGAGGGCTCGTAGGGATGCGTACAAGATCAGAGATGATGTTCAAGGTCTGATGAGCCACTCTAAGGCATGCTTGCTGGTTCCCTGCATGCATCTGTCCTTTGTGGTGAGACCCACAGGACCCACAGCTGTGAGCAAGGAAGCTCACTGGCTCAGACCTGGTTCCCCCTACCCCCCGGGGGCTCCTCCTGTCTTTTCTCTTCTGCGTTATCATTGATAAGAAGGAAAACTTTTAAGTGTAGTTCAGAGCCATGGCTTCTCCCTGTGCACAGCACAAAGCAATTGGAATCTTTTGTAGGTGAGTGGTGTGCGTGCACATTTTGATTTACATAGAGGAAAGCACATTCATTTAAAAAACATTTATAAAGCCATCTTTACGTTTTTTGAGCTTCCTGTTTTCAGAGCTTCTGTCTGGAGCACTGCTAATGTTTTAGCAGGCTCACCATAGTCTTTTCCTAGCAGACTTTTAACATTAATTATTTTTTTGTCCTTCAGTCATTATTTTATTAATTTTCTGTGTATTAGAAATAGTTGTTTTTTTTTTTAATCTCCAGGTATTTAGTAAAGTATAGAGTGTGGAGAATTATTTCCAAAGTTCACAGTAACAGTGCAGTAATTCCTGCAAAATATCTCCCTGTGTATATCCTGAGTGGTCATTCATTCATTCATTCATTCAGGTGGTTATCATCCGTGTACTGATGGACCCAGTTAGTATGTCGAATTCTGAGGATTTCTCAGCTGCTTCTACTTAGGGTTGGAGAAAGCAGACAGATCACTTCCAGGTCTTTCTGTCTTTCCCCTATTGTTCCATCTCTCAAGTTACGTGTGTCTCCCATAGCACACTGGGAAGCCTGAAGGCATGTTTCTGTTAGCTCAGCATAAATTTGGCTCTAGCAGGAACTGGAGCTGATGTCAGGACCACCTCACCCCTACCAGCTGCCTAGAGGAAAGGTTACACAGCACACCTACTTACTGGCTAGCACTGAAGATAACCTCAGCTCCAATTACGATACCGTGCCACTCTGATTTTTATCACTCTTTGTGGCACCTTGCGGAGGTCATAAATTAATACTTAAGTTCAAGGTGACAGTGTTGGAACACTGACTATTAACATCTATTAGGCAACCATAATGTGTCAAACACCACACTAAAGACTAAAAGTACCCTTTTTATCGATCCTCATGCTTGTAGCAGCTTCCCCTCCCCACATTGTGATACATGATGCAGGCCTTCGTACCAGACTGCCATCATCTTTGTGAGTTTGGCTGTGCCTGTTTGAAAAAGATAACACAGCTGGGCTTGCTGGTTGTTGATGGTCCCTCGAAGATGGAAGGATGAGAAGGGTGGAGTCACCTGAGTGCCCAGCCATTCCTACCCACAAGTTGCATGAAGTTCTTCCCTAATTGCATATGACCTCAGGTAGGGCTTAGAGTAGATAGGTTGGGAAAGACTTGGGAGAGGGCTTCATCTACCTGGCCCTAAGGGAGTCATTATGCCTACCAGGCACAGACCTTCCAGTGTGGCTGCTTTAATGACACGCAAGCCTCCACCCATACCCGTCACCCATTTCTCTGTAAGTAAGCCTAACAAACCCAGTGGTTCTCCAGGGTGAAGGCTGGTGGATATCTACCTCAGTTTGGTTTACTAACCTTAGGAGAAGGTCCCCCAGGAAGGAGTTTTAACAACGTTTCACTGTGGAAACTGAGCACATAGGATGCACATTTAGGATTGGATTGACCAGGCCATGGCTAGGTTGTACTTCTTTCAAGCATCAGTAGTGGCCCTGGCACAATCATGGCCTGCTACTGCTACCCTCCCCCCCTCCCCTTTTCTAAGGCATTAGGTTCCTAATGTTGAAACTCCTGTCCTCAGAGGCATACCCAGGCTCTCCCCAGCCTGGACATTCCATAGATAGTTTTTATATTAAGTGGGTTCCTTAGGACTGCTGGCTGACTACTGAGGGATGGAGGAAGGCAGGGACCCGGGCTCCCACCTCTCCCATGCTCCCTAGTTCTCTTGTCTCTTCCCTGTTGGTTTACTATCTGACTGCAAATAACAGCCTCAGCCCTGGGTACCTTCTGTTGGATAGAGGCAGTCAGTCTTTCCCTACCACTTAGGTGGTCTTTGCCTGCTCAGGGAGGGGGAGTCTAGAAGTCCTCCTTAGGCTGGCCCTGTTTGGAGGTAACTATTTCCCAGCTCAGTGCCCAAGGCTGTACTGTCTTTTTTTAATGATGCTGTTTACCAAGGTACTGAGGCAATTTTTGTAGGATTGCTCTAAAGCTTGCCCTGTCAAAGATAAATGTTTCCTACTGAGCATTTTTTTTTTTTTTGCTTGTATTTTTGCCCAAGGCCTTTTCCCTCTGTCTAGGTAGTTAGTCCACAGAGAGCCAGAAAGAGCTTTAAAAGATCTACTTCGCTAATTCATAGCCAATTAGGAAACTTTGTTTTGAATCTGACTGGAAGGTTGCTTTGTCAGTGGGACAGAGCCCTCCTGTCCTGCACTCTAGAGGATTAAAAATCTCCCTGCAGTTAGTTAGAAAACAGCTTTGTAGTGCACGGCAAAAACAGTCTACAATTCAGTCTTGGCCCATCACAGCCGTACACACACTCTCTGCTTTGTTACTGGAGCAAGTGTTTGCTTTCTGCTATAGAGTTTCTGGCTATCTTTTTGTTTTATACACATGGGCGCTACCCTAGAGTGTGCACCAGAACCCAATATTATTTTCTTCTTTGGTGACTTCTCCATGCTTAAATTTTGATCTGATTTTTTTTTTTTTTGCCTCCTCAGGGTTTGGTCTCAGTGTCATCCTGAATTTTGTTAGGAAAAGACAATTCTGTCAGTTTACTGCGACCATAGGCTTCCGGAAGAGACACACTAGATTGCTGCAGTTTCTTTTAGAAAGTGCCTTTGAATTTTAGCAGAATGTAAACTAGCTTGGTTTGGGGCTATATTTCAAAAAATTTCTGCACAGCAGAAGTTTAGTCCTGAGAAAATGGAGGCTCTCCGACTGTGTGGTTAGAGGCGTCCATACTGTTTGCCTTTCAATGCAGGAAAACTTGAGCCTGCAGGTGGAGGACTCCACCACTTCCTTAAGCAGGAAGTTCGTAGCTTCTAAAAGGTTGCCTTGTTAAGTCCACTTTAATTTCATTGTTGCAGTTTGACAGTTGAACAGCATGCCTGGAAACAAAACAGAACGACCCAAAAGTTTCCCCACTTTCTTTGCTGGCTTCACCTACCTGGTTCAATGTTGAGGGAGTAGCTTTCAATTTCCAGATTGAGTTCTTGAGCTGCAGTGGACCGAAGGTCCTCCAAGACCCCTTGCACCGCCTGGGTGAGGTTGTAGGGTACCGCCTTTGCAAACCGCACTTTGCTGTTTACGATCACACTCCCGTTTCTGAAGCTGAGTATTTCCAGTTGCTTAAACCCGGTAAGATTCGATCGTAGATAGGGGACCAGCTGCGAAAGAATAACATGCTTTATCCCCAGCTGGGCCACTGCTGGACTTCTTTATGCTTCCTTTTCACAGTGTGCGGCCTACATTTCACTTCTTCACTGTTGTTTTTGTTGTTGGATGTGAGATTAGCACACCACAACCTAATGATCTATTTATAATAATTATGTTCATATTTCTACCTTTCTGCCTGCATTCAGATAAATGGGCAGGGATTTTCTTCATGCCTTGTGACAACAAATGCTTAAAACAAAACAAAAAACAAGCAAACAAACAACCCAATATTATCAGCCAAACAGTGCCAAGTTACTAATTCTTTTTAAGTGGCTATTCCAAATTAAGCCCAGGAGCCAACCAACCTACGTCTGTGTAAATGGAAGTAGTCAATTTGAAATGACCCATTGAGACAAAAAACCATGAATCCACTGTGTCTTTCTGTCAGTGCAGTAAATCTTCATAGCATGCAAGAGGGAAGTGAAAATCAGGACATTTGGATGGGGGTTGCTGAAGCTGGTCCCAATCAGCTGGACGGCCTTCATTGAGCAATACACTAACCGTGTGGGACCTCATGCTCATCTGAGCTGGGTGAGAGAGAGCACAGATGGCTTCCTGGGGATTCCTTTTCAAATATGATTTAATAATCTCAAAAGCATTCTCAGGGCTTCCCGTGTGTATATACATGCCTTTTGTGAGTCACAGCCATCCTGAAGGTCATGTTCCAGAACTGGCTAAACCTCATTTCCTGACTCTAGAAGTGTTCCTGAATGGTGCTGTGTAAGTACAGCTGGCATGAAGGTTCAAGCTGCCCCCTTCTGGGCTTAGCTCAGAGCCATACATTCTTCTGTCTCTGCCCCACTAGAATTTTGATTCTGATCTTGCTTCACAAGGTATGCTGGTTAGTCATGTGAATTGGGTAAAACCTAGAGTTTCCTGGAAGAAGGAAACCCCGATTGAGGAATTACTGCCATCAGATGGGTCCATGAGCATGTCTGTATCATTCATTTTAACTAAGGATGGATGTGGTGGAGCCTAGCCCACTGTGGGCTTTACCACCTCTGGGCATGTGGTCCTAGGTTATACAAGAAAGCAGGCTGAATAAGTAATGAGGGACAATCCTAGAAGCAACATTCCTCAATGGCTTCTGGATCAAGCTCTTGTCTTAAGTTTCTGCCTTGGAGTCCCTCAGTGATAGACTAGAACCTGCAAGGTGAACCAGTTCCTTCCCAAGTTGACTGACTTTGGTAATGGTATTTATTATGACAACAGAGAAGCAACGTAGACGATGGCATTATTTTGAGAAAAAAAAATGAAATTTATACCAGGGTTGGGAATTTGCTCCTTGTGCTCTGTCCGGATTTGTTTTGACTGCTCTGCTGACCTCTTCTGTAAGTTAGCACTGTTTTGGCCTTGGGGAGGAGTTTTCGGTTTTCACCCTGTGCCTTGTCTCCCAAACTAATTCCCAGAATGCAATGGAAAAGAAGATGGGTTTACTAGTGATGATATTTTTCCAGTCTCCACATAGCCAAGCCTGGTCGTGTGACCAGCTCTATCACTACAAAGTGTGCAGGGGATGCTACTCCTTTGCCATGTGTTGACAAACTGCTCTCCCTGAAAACAGAATGTGGCAACCACTCGGCCTTAGCTTTGCAAAGGAGGAAACCTTCTTAGGGTGGCAGAGCCACCCGTGGAATAAATGTGGGTCTCCAGAGGACATGAAGACACAGCTTCCCAGACGTAAGCTTGATTCTAATGTCACTGTTCTCAATGTCTTTGTTATGGCAGTATATCACAAACCCTAATGAAGCCACTGGGGTGAGGCTCATTGCGACACTGTTCCCTAAGATAGTCTCAATACTCACCCCATGGGAGTGTGTGTGTGTGTGCACATGCACGTGCGCATGCGCATGCAGAGCAGAGAGTTTTACTTGAAAAATGTTCAGGCCATATGATAATTTAACTTATATGAAGCATATATATTCTCTGATACTGTCAGAAATCATGTGTATGATATATATTATACATTTTATTTAATCAGATGTGACTGTTAAAGCCATCACCGGGTTCAATCTTTATTACCTCACACATATTTTTTTTTAGACATGTAGAATCAAAATTAAGATATGAGTTTAAGGGTGCCTGTTATCAAAATGTATCTATTGTGAAAATCTTCTAACTTTATATGCCAAGGATCAGAGATGACATGCCGTACAGCCATTTACGACGACCTACGAAAGCGTTTATATCTGAACTCTCCCCATCTTCCACGCTGGGCAGCATGGCTGTGTTCTCTCACAACCTAGGAAAAGTCCTCTTGTGCTACTTTTAGATTCCAAGCTCAGCGTTTCTGACTTGTACTATAGTACTTCTGTACCAAATCTGGAAAAACATATTTAGGGAGAACCAAACATAATGAGGAGAATCTAAGGATAAACTTGTCAATGCGCAACTAGGCACTTCCCTCCCCATGAAGGCAGACAAGGTAGCCCAGTTAGGGGAACAAGATCCACAGACAGGCAACAGAGTCAGGGACAATCCCCTCTCCAGTTGTGAGGGAGAGGATGCACATGTGCCAGGGTGGGTTGTTACGGAGGGGCTCCCGATTCTCAGAGAAGAGAAGGGGGGAAGGAATGAAAGGCTGTGTAAAGGGGCGCTGGGGGGGACTGTGATCAGGACGTAAAGTGGAAAAATAAATATATGAAAGAAAGAGGACTTGTTCCCATGAAGCTGGTGCAGCAACATACAATAGCATGGCAGCTTTGACTGCTCATCTCCCCCTAACCTGCATTGCTCAGGATAAGCAATGATCATACTGTAATGATAAAGCAACAGCAAAATGAACAAGGAGACCCAGCAAGTGGAGAAAGGCAAGCCATGCCCACTAACCAGGTCTGTGAATCGTTGTTCCAGGGCTTGATATTCCAGAGAACTCTTGTTGAACAGGTCATAGGAGAACGGCATGTTAGCAACTCGCAGACTGAAGAATACCACTAGCTCGTGGCCCTTGGTGGCAATGGTCTCAGAGCTGGTGGTGATGTACTGTAATGTTGGGATGGGCGTGGTCATCTCCAAAAACTGACCCGGGGTAGAATCGTATCCACTCAGTTCTGATATTTCTGACAAGGCAGGCGTGTCAGACACATCTATTTCGTCTAGGTCTCGGATTGTATCGTGGCTGCTTGTGATCAACTCTCTGTCACTGGAAGATGCAGGCCAATGTGACGTTTCCAGAGGCAATTGGTGGATGGTAGAATAACTGATAGTGGGCAGAGTGAGTTTGGGGATGAATGCTGTAGGGCCAGTGGTTATCAAGGGAGGGGGGCTTTGATCATCCAAAGAGAAGATGCTAGGTGTAAGGGAAGGTAGATTTTCTGATCGTGAAGTTGAGGCTGATACAGGTGGAGACCAAGAACTGTCTTTGGAGGATATGCCTGATGCATTTTCATTACGTCCAATTATTTCCACCCAAAAAGAAAATGAAAAAAAAAAAACAAAGTTAATCAACCTTAACAAAAGACACCACATTTACATTGAAGATTTCAATCATTTTTAACAAAGGAGATTGGTACAGAAAGGGCAGGTAATACTGTATCCAAACCTAGGGAGACAAAGCATGGGTCCCTGGACTCACTTTATCCAGACCCCAAATTCTACATATATGAGACGAGAAGAGCATCCGTTAATTCGACTTTCTAGAATTACTGTGCAGGCAGACTTAGCATACCTACAGATCAGATAAGAGAGTTACTAACCGCTAGAGTAGAGTTGGAATAAACCACAGCTGGACTGGCATAGATTTAAAGCCACATCCTCACCTGGGACTTTCAGACAACTTCCTGCAGCTTTGGTTCAGAGATTATATTTACTTTCTAATATTGCAAACTCAACATTTTTGGATTCAATAATCACATTTTGGTAGCCTTATGACCTAGAATTCTACTCAATTTTTTCAGAACTGGATATTCAGATTGAACAAGTGGACAATTTGCTGGATGGTGCTGTGGATGCAGAGGCATGGGTGATGTATATTTGGACTTTATATTGAATGTGCAATTTGGTAAGTATTTGATCATATTTCAAGTATTTTCATTGCTTTCACTCAGGACTGCTGAAGTCTATTCCATTTTTGGTACAAATTAAAAGCAGTAAGTATATATGAACCAAGAAAGTAGTTACATGAACCTTTCAGATAGAGAGATTGATGGATTATTAAGGTAGTCCAAGAAGCCTAAATCCTGAGCCACTGATTGCACTTAGGGGACTCAGTGAACAAGGCAGGCAATTTTCTGTGATTACTTCCACTGGCATTTTGGCAAATCTGTGGGAAAGTTCTGCTGAAACCTGCATGGTAAGTATGATGAATGGTCTGTCTGAACGCAGATAGAATCTTTGGACTTGCACTCAAATAATTTACCACAGTGCAATCACCAAAACTGAAACTCCCAAATTCTAAACAGCTCTGAGAGGCAGAGTCAAATCAGCTTTATTACTTTCTTAAAATAAAACCTTACTATTGGCTGAATTATTCTCCCATTTCAGAGGAGGACACTCCTTTCTCGTCGCTAGCACAAAGTTCCTAGATGCGTCTAACCATAATTCAGTCAACTGCCAGAAATATTTGCTGATGTCTATACTCTCTGTGCATATAAACTGAGGTTTTTTATTCAAATCTTCATTTCCTATGAGCTGAATGCTTGTATACCTCTCAACTTCATGTGGAGAACACTTATCCCACAATATAATAATATTTAGAGATGAGGCCATATGGAAGTAGGTAGGTTGTGCGCGGAGAGCCCTTGTTGGATGATATTGGTATTGGTACTCTCATCTGAACAGAAAAAAAAAAGAGACGATAGAAGGCATACATGATATCCATGATCAACCCAGGAGAAGTACCATCACTAGGGATCCAGTCTGTCGGTAGTAGCTTGATTTTGGGATTCTTTTGTTTTAACTTTTAAAAATTATTCTTCTTTCATATATTACAACCTGACCACAGTTTTTCCTTCTCCCTCTCTTCCCAGTCCCTTCCTGAAACCCTATCCACTTCTCCTCCTCTGTTTCTCTTCAAAAACCGACAAGCCTCCCATGGACATCAACCAAACATAGCATATCAAGATACAGTAAGACTAGGCACTTCCCCTTGTGTTAAGGCTGGACAGGTCAACCCAGTATGAGGAAAACAGGCCCCAAAACAGAGAGGGAGTCAGAGATAGCCCCTGATTGCAGTTAGGAATCCTGTAAGAAGGCCAGGTCACGCAACTGTAACATATGTGTAGAGGGCCTAGGTCAGAGGTAGGCAGGCTCCCTGATAGTCAGTTCAGTCTCTTTGAGTCCCCATTAGATCCCAGTTAGTTGATTCTGTGGGTTTTCTTGTAGTGTCTTCTACCCTTCTGGCTTCTACAATCTACCACCACCTCACTTCTTCCTTGGGATTCCCTGAGCTCTGCCTAGTGTTTGGCTGTGGGTCTCTATATCTGTTTCCATCAGTTGTTGAGTGAAGCCTCCCTGATGATGATTAGGCTAGGCACCAATCTAGATTTTGGACTTTAGCAGTAGAACTGTAGAAGTATACTTCTGTTGCTTAATTCACTCCACATACAATATTAGCTTGTGCTAAGCTGTCTGCACAAGGCCTGGGAATGAGTAAATTGAAAGTGTCTCAGTGCTAGCCGTGATTTGGTTTGACTTCTTTGTGGCATGCATTTGAATCTGTGCTTCTGGGATGTGCACTCTGTGCTCCTACAGGTGAGAGAGGCTGGGAAATGAGAGGTATGGAGGACCGTGATGGACGTCTTGCGTGTGCTCTACAGCCAGCGGCTCACCACTTGCTCCTTTCTCACTCCACAAACTTTAACCAGCTTAAGATAGGTCATCATGTCATCATGTCAGGGACTTCATGTCATCAGTCAGGGACTTTGTACATTTTTCCCTCTGTGGCATCTTAAGACTAACTCCTTGTATCCACAGTGAACCTACCTGAGCCATCTCAGTGACATAACAAATGGTTATTGAAATGTAGGACTGCTTGGTATAAGCACCAGTTGAAACACTTGTATGCTAAAAAAATTACTCTTGTGTTTATGGAAAATTCAAATTTGTCTACTATCATTTATTTTGTTTGCCAAATCTAGTAACCCTATTTAAACGTGCTTTGCAATTTCTTCCAAGTCTCTCTCTCAAAAAAAGAGAAACAAATTTAAAATTTTATTCTTTTTTTTTAATAGCTTAAGACTGAATCTACTAAGGCAATAGTCAGCTCCTCCAGAAAAAAAAATTTATTCAAACCTTGCCATGACTTCTAATGTAAGTAATTATGCCTTTAACTGATTCATATATAAATAAGAGACATGACAATGACACAGGCTAATCTATTATTAAGTTTGAAATGTTGTGATAGGAAGTCAAGAGCTACAGCCAAGGCCACTTATTTCACCACAGAATATGAAAATCAAAAGACTCAGAATAACTGTGTTCAAGAGAGTATATGGGTCCTACAAAGAGGCAAAGCCCAGCTAAAGGCAGAGAGGAGATGGTTATTTCCATCTCTTCCTAGGCGGGGGTGGGGGGTCTGTTCAAAGTCAAGGCCACAGTTAAAATGGGCCAACTCAAAGCAAGTGAACACGGGGCAGCTGACACCCAAAGGAAGAGAGGCCAACAGCTGAAGGTGAGATTTTGGGAGGGTGTGGGAGTGGGAGGGAGGTGGGGAGGAGGGGTAGGGTGGGGGTGGGCAACCATACTAGTAGCCAGAAGAAGACATATGAAAGACCAGCAGGCTGAAGGAGAGATGCAAGCAAAAGATTGCTAGAAATGATCACATCCATCTTGTCGGGTGTTTGCCTCAAGCATTTGCTCATTTCACGTTGAAATAGTGGAAGAAGATATTCTCTGATATTCTTTAGATCTTTAGTTGGCACATCCAGCACATTCTTAGTTTTATATGAAACACTAACTACCTTTTAAATTACAACCCCTTTCATATTATAGAACTAGGAAATGTGTCTTTTATTAATTCATTTAATGACTGGATAGATATGGAGAGCCTCCCATTTGCTGATCCTGGTGCTCAGATACATCAACGAGCAAACCAGCTGCCAGTCTCCGAGAGCTTACTACATCGTGGAGGAAGACAGAAAAATAATGCTCCAAGTAACACATCAGAAGATTCAGAATGGCTGGGGTGGGGGTGGAGTAAGTGCTCTGGAAATAAACCCAGTGGGAAAGGAAGCGAAGGAATCAGCAGCATAGCAAAATGCAAAGGAGGAGCATGTAGGAAGAAGAGCATCTAGTTCAGGGGACTCCTGGCTTGGGGACAGTGAGACCCCATTGAATGGTGCAGTATCTGCCAATGGTCATGGTAGCTGAAGATAGAATTCTCCTAAACATTCTTTCTTAGGATTGTCCAGTTAAAATGAGGAAGTAATCCAAGAAAGTGGGAGAAATGGTTAATAAAACAAAACAAAACAAGCAAGCAAACAAAACCATGAGGGACAGCTTCTGGAAAATGGAGACAGCACATCGAAGGAGAGACTCAAGATGGAACGTGGGCAGAGGCTCACAGATCTTCACTGCTAAGCCTGTTTTCTGAATTCTATCTGAAAAAAAGTGTAGTTTTTTCCCCTTTTCTCCCTTCCTGTCTGTTCTTTAGAAACAGGCTAAAATTCTAAGCATGCACACTCTGATCCTCTAAAAATTATTTCTCTGAAGAATACTCCCTCAGTTGCCTGCCATCCCATGGTTTCTCTCCCAACTGCCAATAAAGTAATCCTCAAGCTTAACAAGAAGGAAAGGGTCAGCCTTGTCTATTACCACAGGAAAGAAAGGACTAGCATTGTCTAGTACCACAGGAAAGAAAGGACTAGCCTTGTCTAGTGCCACAGGAAAGAAAGGATCAGCCTTGTCTAAGTACCACAGGAAATGCAGGTGTCACCAGGCCCTATGACAGTGTGAAGATTTTTACAAAATAATTTTACATCTTCATTTGTGGATAACTGGCAAGTGACAAAAAATGTCTGCCTTTGCCCTTTATTTATAATGGGAAAAATTGCTGGAGAATGTATTCTAGAGGAGAGGTGGAAACCTGGGGCAGAGGGATAAGAGAACTCACTGGGGAAGACAGGGAATTCTAAAGAAGTCCCAGTGAGGGTGCTCTACAAAGCTGAGAGAGTAGTGCTCTCTCAGACTTGACACTGAGGTTTCAAGACATCACCAGGTGTTTATAGATGCTACACAGGAAACTGTAGTGGAATGCTCAGGGGAGCTAGCAATAAATACAAAGAAGGCTAACCCGAGGAGAACAAACTTAAAATTCATGGAAATCAGGAAGGAAAGAGCAAACAGTACACCTGCGGATATAATCTGAATGCTAACTATTGATTTAATGATAGTTGAATTATTTACCGAAGGATTGGTTGGG